CGGGCCGGGCCGGGCGGGGCCGGGGGGGCAGCGGGGCCGGGCCGGGGCAGCGCGGTACTTGCCTTGCCGCAGACCTCGCACGTGAAGACTTTGGGCTTGCTGCTGGGCGAGCTGCGCCCGAACTCCGAGCCCTTGAAGGCGATCTTTTCCGAGAGGATCTGGGCGCTTTCCTTCATGTAGTGCTGCAGCTGCGCCTGCGAGAGGTCCTTGAAGGCGACCCCCGCGGGGTACTTGTCCGCGCCCGGCAGCACCAGCTTGTTGCGCTCAGCCAGGTACGCCTTGGGCGGCGGCTGCAGGGGCGAGCTGAGGAAGTAGGAGGCCACGGGGTGGATGTTGACGCCGGAGGAGGGGTGGCACGGCCCGTCGCCGCGGTTGAAGTAGCAGAGGGCGCCCATGGCGTGGAAGGAGGAGTGGTTGACCACGCGGGGCCGGACCAGCTTGTACTGCTGCAGGGGCAGCGCCTCGCGGGAGAAGTCGCCCTTCAGGCTCAGGGCGCAGTTCAAGAGCTCGCCGCAGCTGAAGGAGGCCGGGGAAGAGGAGTCCAAGTGCGCCTTCCTCGGCTCCGGCCCGCCGCCAGCCGCCTTGGCCAGCGGGTCGTAGGCCACCGGCACGAAGGGGATCATGCAGGGGATGGAGGAGTTGAGGTGCAGCGCGTGCTTGGGGTCCCCCTTGGGCCCGGAGCCCTGGAGGAAGTGGGGCACGGGGATGGCCTTGGGCTCCGGGGTCCTGGCCATGATGCGCTCGATGGAGAAGGCGAGCGGCTTGGAAGTGCTGATCATGTTGCTCCGGGCGGACAGGCTGTCTCTGGCTGGAGCAGGCGCTAGGAGTTTGGTCGCCGTGTGCTGGCCACTATTGTCCATGGCTGGATCGCATTTGCTCGCCGGGCTGCGCCGCTTTGGTAGACGCCTCTTCCCCCCCCACCCCCCCTTCTCCTGTCACTGATCTGCGAGGAGGGAGAGCAGCATCCTCGCCGCCGCCGTCACCGGAGCCGCCGCCGGCGGAACCAGCCTCCCCGGCCCGGGGGCCTCGTGCCAGCCCATCGCGGCTTGCTCCGGCGCTCCAGTGACTCGGGGACAATCGCTACTTATTTCTGTCAATAGGACGTGTTGTGTCAATAGCGCAGCCGCGGCCCCGCCAATCGTTAACTTCCGAGCGCAGAAGGTAAACTAGATAATTGCTCAGTTCGCTTCCAGCAGGCACCGGGAAAGTTTTCTCCCCCCCTCCCCGCCGGCGCCCGGCGGCTACTTCTCATTGGCTCCCGCCC